CAGTTTCTACGCGTATTCCTAACTAATTGGTCCCACCATATGCTGGCGTAATCAGTAAACTCCACGACCGCTAATTTCACTTTCTTCTCTTCCAAGTAACTATGGATATCAAAGATTTGTTCTACCTTTCTCTCACATTCCAAATAAGCCTCCGGATCGTTCCTACCTTGAAATGGTGGAATCTTTATCTTAATACTACCCAAGTTTCTATCTTTTCAAACTGAGTTCCTACCTCCTCTAAAGTATTTCCCACCGTTCTTTTTAACCTACCCATCCGCACTTATTATGGTCATCTCATCGTCACTGCGCTCATTCTCACTATCGGTTACTATCCTATCATGAGCTCATGTGGATGGTGGAATAACCTCTTTCTACTAATATACTCATAAAAATACACATAAATAAAATACATGTATAGTAACAAAAGTAGTTGGGCCCAAATTTTTCTTTTATTAAAATATATACATTCTTTACATAGTACAAAATATCATATACAAAACCATCAAAATAGTGGACAGTGTAACCATTGCTCCCCGCTTGCCGACATCCATCCGACCACATCCTCACCTATTTCTTGCAAAACATAGAAAACAACGGGGTGAGCACGAACAATGCTCAGTAAGTAAATCCTCTATTCCTCATCCCTGTAACTCTTTTCTTAATTCTTTCCTTACATTACTCTCTTCTCATTTTTTTTCTCTTCTTATTCTTTCTATTCTCCATCTCGGTTTCTCTGTGTCTCACAATTCTTTTCTACTAATTCTCTTTCTCTCTCTCGCTGTTCTTTCTCATGATCTCTTACTCTTTGCCGATCGGACTCGGTTATGCATGGATTCAGAACCCTTGGCCGTGTGAGTGCATTCTCTCTCTCGGGTACTCTCGGGTATAGCCCTCATCCGCATGTACTCTCACGGGTTATACCAATTCTTTCTCTCACGCTCAGGCCGCTCTCTCAATGCAGCGTACATATGGGAATACTCTACCTATCACTCACTGGTTCCCCATCGCACAACTTATTCTATTCTCTTCCTTAGCACTTCTCATTATTTTATTCTCTAGTGCTCATTCTCTCTTTCTCTTTACTCTTATAGTGCTTTATTCTTAGAATTTTTATACTCTTATACTCTTTCTCAAGCTATAGAATGTTATACTCTTTCTCAAGCTATTACACAAATGCAAACTATATGCATGTGGATGGCTCATGTTCGTTAAATGTACTCATGAAATGCAAATATGCCATGTTGCAAGAATTTAAGGTTCCCTACTCATACTCATGCTTCACTTAGACATTTCATCAAACAATAAGTGTGCATACAAAAACTCTACTTTAATTATAGCTCTACTTCTCTCTTTAACCATCCAAGATGAGAGGAAACTCCCTTGTATAATCATAATTCCTGTCAAGGAAAAAACACTCCTAAAAAGTTTACTCAAAACTCCTCCAACTTCAACCCAACCTCAATCTCTCATCACACATCCAAAAACACTTCTCATAACTTAAATATCTTCAACAACCACAAATAAATACACAACTCATCTCAACTTCTCAACAAGCATAAGATATACATACATAAAGAAAGCTCTACTCAAGTGATTTCTTACACCTTAACTTGAATTGGATTTACTTACCTTGTGATTGAGTGACTCCACTAGGATCTCTTTTCCTTGGGTAGCTTGTCCTTTCTCTAAAACCTTAAGCAATAATACTATAAGACTTTAACACTTCTATAAATAAATCTCACATATATAGCAAGAAATTTTGCCTTGGGATGCTTTGGCTTAACTCTTTACCAAAAACCACTCAAAAGCGCTCTAAAAATCCTTATATAATTGAGTGGGAAGTTGAGAGAAAAAGAAGAATGGGAATGGCGGTGGAGGTAGAGAAATGAGGGGGTTTCTCATACTAAACTCTTAATATCTCATTTTACAATCATTCTTTCCCATTTTTCCCTTACACTATTTTAAAAATTCCATCCTTGTCCTTTAATTCATTGCAATCACACCCCCAACTCCAATGTATTCTCCATGAAATTTTCTTACATTTTACTCCCCACTTTACCTGCTAATTAGGGGTAAAATGGTCACTTTGCCCCTATGGAAAATTCTCTAGAAACTTCACAAAACAAAACAACAGGCTCTTTGTCGCGGCAAAAAATTACATAACCTACACAATTATAGAACCTACGTCGCCGCGACGAAGTATGGAACACCAAAATTTCGCCAAGTCTTTAAAATATTCAGGGCAACCACTCAACCAAACCAAAACACTAATTCAACGAAGGGTCAACCAAACCATATGAACAACATGTAAACTCAATTAAGGGCAAAATCAATGAATCATTTAGGCAATACTACATACTTTAACTACGTACCTCACGTAAACGTTACAGATGGTGCTTTCTTCTTATTTTTCTTTTCCCCTTCTTTCATTCTTTCTACCCTACTCTCAAAACTACTCATAACATTCATCATATGTTCTAATTGTTGCTGCATAGCTTTCATTGTGAAAGCTTTGGATTTCTCCGATTCTTTCGCAATGTCCTTTTCAAGATTTTTCATGAAGGGGTACTTGTAGAAAATGTTAGAAAATTCCTCACAACCACTCCCTCAGGTGTTTACACTCAATTATTCAAGCCACTCACACTTGCGTTTAGAATGTTCTTTTGAATCTCATGATCTGAATTTTTTTATTTTTTTTTATTTTTACAAACAACGAAAGACAAGAATTATCAAATTTTCAGATGTGTCGCTCAAAATCACCTACCGATAATGCAAAGGACAGATCCGAATCAATCACAAAGACAATAGAACACCCAAAATTCAAAGGAGTGTTCATGACAATAAAAAAAAATCAACACCAAGAATATGAAACGAACAAAACTTCAATCAAGATCGAATCTTTAGAAAAACAATTGTAAAATATTAGATTGTAACAAATCAGACCAAGATTCAAGATTAACAAGATCTGATGAACAGTAGATTCAGATCTGATATATGTTGCAAATTTTTTTTTTTTTTTTTTTTTTTTAACTTGGCCGACTTTTGTTAAATCAAATCTAATTTGTATTGAATTTAATTTGAAATCAAGAAAAGATGCTAACAAGATTCAATCAATTACAAATCAAGACCCAAACTAAATAACATGGATTCAACACAAGAGCAGATTACGAAACATAAGATTAAATTCAAAGAACCCTAATGACTTGAACTAAACTTAATCGAAACCCTAATTTGGTGCACAAATTGATCAAGAGAGCCCCCAAGATGTTCAAATAACCAAGAAATCACACCAAATTCAATAGTATGATGATCAGTTTATTCAAGATATTCAGCAAGACTCAACTAAGACAAATTGAATACGATGAAACAAGAATAAAGACTCGAAAAGAAACAAAAGAAAAAAAAAAATAACAGAGATTCTGATTTGAACCTGGCTCTAATACCAACTGATGCGATCTGCTTCAATTTGCAAAGAAACCCGTCGATCAAGAACGTAAAGATCTAGGAACAATTAGAATTTGAAGAACCGCGACCTGAAACGAATCTATTGTCAGAACCTTGGTATAGATAATCTGAAACGTCATAATCTTAATTTAGATTGATAAGTTTCATGGAAGAATGCCACAAGAATGGGTGATTCTTGATGAGTTCTAGAGATCAAGATGCAATCTTAAAAAAAAACGAAATATTTAATTATTCCTTCCCAAAAGGTTTGCAGCCAAAACATCCAACCACTATATATAACTAACTAATTGGCCCAAAATAAGGCTAACAGCCCATTAATAGGTCTTAACCCTAATAACTAACCCAAACTCAAACCCAAATAATAAAAATAATAAAATACTTGGGCTTTAGTAAATAAACAGCTCCAACCAATTACACCAAAATAAGTCTTAAAATAACTTAAAAAAACCCACATAAAATAACAATTATTAAGCCTCATGAACAAAGGCTTGGACGCCAACTTGGACTCAATTAGGGCTAGCAAGAATCTGTCTTTAATTCCTCAAACTTGGACTTGAGCTTCAATCTTGTTAATAATATTTTTGGATCTCTCTAAGGCATACTCGACTTCATGCATTGCTTCCTTGGCTTCAAGTTCTTCAATTACGCTTGACAAGACACGTTGCATCTTTTTAGCTCGACTTCTCATAATCTGGGCCATCGGAATGTGAAGACGATCTTGTGTCGGCTTTACGACAACAGGCTGCTCGGTTATGTCCTCATCAACTAGAGTTGATTTGATAATGTAAGGTAGTGATATGTAGACTTAGGTCAATACATCTACTTCAAACTCATATTTAAAAAAAAAAAAAAAAAAAAAAAAATCAAATTCCAAATTGAGTTTAGATTTATAAACAAACCTAATTAAACATTCTTTATATTATTATTTAAAAAATTGTGTCATCCTACTTATTCAAATATGGTTCATCTTTATCCACATCTAATATAACGCCTAACTATCATACAATGTTTTTAATTAAGTGCGGTTATACATCATAATTTTTATTTAATAACATTGTATTAAAGATACACATTCCAAGTTATATAATCACAATGTTATATGATAATCATAAATTAATATTAATTTTAAAATATGGTATTAATTTTAAAAGACAAGGTGCTTCTCTCAATGGTTATATTAAATTATTAAGGCAAAATTTCAATTTCAATTTCAATTTTCAATTTTCAATTTTCAATTTTCAATTTTCAATTTTCAATTTTCAATTTTCAATTTTCAATCCAACCAAACGCGGCAAATAACAAGTGTTTTTTCCCACGCACCATTCCCACCAAAATCACCCGCCCAGTCTCAATTTCCATAGCACGATCCAACACTAATTCATTTCCACCAATCACATTCAAGATCTCACAATCCAACGGTTCGCATCTCAAAAAGTACCCTTCACGCGGATCACTTTCTAATCTAACGGCCACCGAGCCCCATCTCTTTCCATATAAACCCCGTCTCATCTTTCACTAAACGCAACAATCAAACATCTAAACAGAGAGTAAGAGAAAAGGAAAACAGAAGAAAACGCAAAAATGTCAGGAAGGGGAAAGGGAGGCAAGGGATTGGGAAAGGGAGGAGCCAAACGTCACCGTAAGGTTCTCAGAGATAACATTCAGGGGATCACGAAGCCGGCAATTCGGCGTCTGGCGAGGCGTGGCGGCGTCAAGCGTATCAGCGGTTTGATCTATGAAGAAACTCGCGGTGTTCTCAAGATCTTTTTGGAGAACGTGATTAGAGACGCCGTGACCTATACCGAGCACGCTCGCCGGAAGACCGTCACCGCCATGGACGTCGTTTATGCTTTGAAACGTCAGGGCCGGACTCTCTATGGTTTTGGTGGTTAGGGTTAGGGTTTGGTTTGCCGGCGTTTTAATGGATTTTGTAATGACATTTCATCAATTAATGAATATTTTTATGGTAATTGACTGATTTTTTATTTATTTTTTGTGTTTTGTTTATGAGTTTATGCTTGGCTGATTGGTTCGGTTTGTTGATCTAATTGGTTGGTGAAAGGTTAAAATTGGAATTGGAAGTGTGTTTGGATGCTGAGAAAATGTCTGGGAAAAGGAAGGGGAAAATTATTGTTGAACTGAAGGAGCTAAACTTGTTAACTGAAATTTGCTTTCGGTTTTGATTAAAATTGGCTTTAAATGTAAACTGAAATCGAAGTGTCAAATTACATTTCGGAAGCAATTTGTTCTGTTTTCTGAAGAATTTAAAAGGGATTTAGGATTGAAGCCGAAGAGAAAATGTCACTAGTCTCAAGAATGAAAACAAAGTAAATAGAAGCATAGAATGATTTCAAAAGTTAAATTTGAGGTCAACTAATGAAAACAGAATCTGGGCACATCAGTATGATCTATCCATAATAGTTGATGAATTCAAATTGTTATGTGCAAACATTGTTGAATTAGTAAAAAGATAAACTAATATTAGTTTTTCCTTACAAGGAATCTTACTGCCGCTATCAAGTCATTGACCTACTTGCTGGCGAAGCATACCATCGCTTTGTGCTGCTCCCTTATGCATTGATGATTATTGATTCAAATTGCTGAAATAAGCCGCCTTTTTATTACGATGAGAATTTTGATAAGATCAAACTGGGGTTGGTTTTTATTTTGAAGTGGCTCTGCTGCCTTCCCCTTGTATAGTAAAGTAAGGCGTTTGGTTCAGCTGCGCAACTTTTTCATAGTGAGCAATGTGTATCATTTAGTCTAGACCTGGCAAAATGGGCGGGTGGGCCGGGTACGGATCTAAAATGGATCGATTTAAACGGGTTCAATATTTTGGACCCGTACTTTACCCTATACGGGTGTGGGTGCTTGTACTATTCACTCTAATTTTTTTATTGTCTTTTTATTCCTCATCAACCAAATAAACCCACATAAAAAAATCTGAAAAAAGAAAAAATTTACAAAAGAAAAGCAACAGTTTGAGAATGAATTGACTCTACAAACAGGCAAAGATTGAACAGATCTGAGTATCCTCTTTTACTGTTTAGTTTTTGAAACTTCTGCTGCAGATTCTCCACTCTTCAGTCTTTATTCCAACCAAAACCTAACTCTGACTTTAATCACCTCCACTTCCACTCCCCACGTCCCACATGCCACCTGTTGCCCCATAGGCCGCAACGCATCCTCCATCGCATCACCAGATAGAGTTAATCATCTGACTTTAATCACCAGGTTTGATTGAATTTTTCCTTTGGGTTTTTGGATTTTTGTTTTTGTTTGATTGAATTTTTCCTTTGGATTTTTGAATTTGTGTGATTTATGTTTTTGTTTTTTTGTTGGGTTTATTTGCAGAGTCCTTTTGTGTTGATGAGAAACAAAGACAGGAGAAGCGGCGACGATGAGTTTGAGAGGGTTAGGGATATTGCGATTTGGGGCAAAAACATGGCCAAACCCCAATTTAGAATTTAAGGTATTCTTGCAAAACGAAAAGGGGAAAACAAACAGGTGCCCGCGGGTGTACCCGCCTGACCCTTTGGCAAAACAGGTTGGGCCGGGTATGGGTAGAAGAAAAACAGGTCTAATATTAAAGACCCACACCCTATATTTTTTACCCGGGTTTAGGGTCGACCTGTAGGTCCAGACCCGTTTTGTCAGGTCTATCATTTACACATAACATGACATAGACGTAGCGTCTGGTTCGGTGTCATGAAAGATAACACCAATGATCTAAATTTTAATTAGGCAATTAACACGTTTGAGTGTCAAGTAATAAAAGATTCCGGTAATCGACCAATATCAATAGTGACTAATATGAGGGGTAATTTGATTACTATTTGAAATGATGTTATTTTTTATTATCATGTAATCTATTGTTCATACTAATTTTATTTTTAATTAATAAACATTTCGGATACAATTATCCTCATATGTCTACCAAGTAACAATTAACTCAAACGTGTAAAATGACTCCTATAACTTTATATATTGATTTTTTTGATAGAAATACCCTCATTATTTACATGAATAATACCCATAATAACCTAAGATGGCTGTCAATCGTCGACCATCATCAACAGTCGTCGGAACAGCGCACGATCGGCTATGTGCCAATCTAGTCATTTTCAGTCAGATTGAAAGCTAGAAACCGCCAGATGGTCATGGATATGGTCGGAAACGACCAGATCTATTTTGACCGTTTTCAGCTAGATCCGCCCAATCGTGTGCCATTTTGACAATTGTTGGTGGTGGTGGTTAGAAGTCATCTTGGGTGGTTGTGGGTATTTTGTTAAATTTTAAACATTTGTTATTATCGTGTTTTAGCTAAATTCTCAAATTTAGGAGGTTAAAGTAATACTCTAAATAATAATAATAATATTATAAAAGAAGAATAATTAAGTAAAAACCACTCGGATAATTTTGTTCTCCCCAACCAAACATATTATTATTTATATTACCAATCTAACAAGACATATAACATTACATTCTTTATTAATTTAAGATAATATATTTTAATGGTATACTATTTTTTCAGTAATATTTTTTAAAACCAAGAGGGTGAAAGTTTCTTCCCCATAATTTTTGAAACTATGAAGATAAACTACAGTATTTCGTTAAATGTAGAAGGTTTAGGGCTAAAACAAAAACAGAAAGGCCCTCCCTTTTCACGTCCGTCATCTTCCTTGTACACCCACCACGGCCCATAACAATCCATAGTCCACAGTTCACATCAGCCACCAAGCCAACCTTTCTCTCTCATTTCAATTTCTGCTCCTCTGCAACACAAACCACTTAACATTTCTGCTTCAAATCATCAACCTCAACGAACAAAATACCAACTCGCTAACTCACTTGACTCGCTCTTCAATTCAACTCAATACACTCCCCATTTCATTTTCTCTACCTCCCAAACCCTAGATCCGATCAATTCAAAACCCGATCAGATCCAATCCAATCCAATTCAAATTCACCCAAATGTCGTGTCTAGCCCTCTCTCTCCAACCCGTCAACGGATCCGACATCCTCCTCAAACCCGAGAATGGTTCCCTCGACCCGAGCCCTCGCCGCCCTCTCCGCCTTCCGTCAAAACGCGAAATCTTCGCCGCCACGAAACGCCCCCACCACACCAAGCCCATCAATCCCAACCCTCCGTTTCCCCCTCGTCGACCACGACGCCTCTCTTGAATCCATCGCCCCTCGGCGTGATCCCCTCGCCGCCTCCAGCGGCCAGCTCATCGTCGGCGTTGAATCTCGGTACCGCGTCGTGGTATCGTCTCGTCAACTCCATCTACGTCCTCGGCATCACCAACCCGATCACGACAACTCAATCAATGTCTTCGACTGCATTAACACCGTTAATCAAGCCGTTAGTGTCATTGTGACAGCGTGCCGTGGCGTGGATGTCACTCCCGAGAAACTTAATCGTAAGTACGCTGAAATCTATAGGCTTTAGATATGTCCTACGTGGCGTTAGTAGTATACGTTTAGCTGCAATGTTGGGTTCAATGCACGGTGACGGAATTGCGAAGATGGTTCACTCTGCATTAGACACGGAGAGTAAGATTCGTGGGGCGGATCATTGGAGTTCTGTTGAGATTCATTCGCTCGAGCATTTGGCGGCGGTTGATTCATTTTCGAATGCTCGGTTTGAAGTCCGGCTGAGACTATTGCGGCCGGAGATGAGGTGGCAGCTACTTGTTGTGCAAATGCTAATGAGCAAGAAAAAGATAAGGAATTGGAGAAGAGTGAGGAGGTCTAATGTTGAGAAGGACCCATTTGCGGCGAGTGAAGTGGTGAATAAGGAGGAGGAACTTGTGGTGGGGTTAAGAAGAATAAGGGTTCGTCGACTGATTTGACTGTGGCGTTAGCGGGATTGAAGTTACTACATTGCCGCCGGCTGAGGCGACGCAGTCGACTCATATTAATGTGGAGGGTTTTGAAGGGGAGGATGGTGGGATTGAGTTTAGTAATGATAAGGCTACGATGGAGGAGACTTTTGAAGGATTTACTGAAGCTTGGGGTGGTGGATTGGATGCTTCTGAGTTTATTGGACCAAAGAAGATTGCGAAAAAGGAAGGGCTTAGTGGGCTTGAACTGTTGCAAACTGGTCCTGATGCTCCGGCTAAGAAGGCTGATGGAGCTAGAGACTCCACTTGAGAAACTTTTGGTGAAAAAGAATGAATGAAGGGTCTGAAATGTATATTGTGGAGCAAATTAGTGCAGAGTTCAGGGAATCATTGCTTGCTAGAACAGGGTTAATGGGTGTGGTTTATTTGAGAACATTGCCCAAGAAAACTTCTGGTGACGATAAAGAAATGAGTTCTCTTCGTGTTGATGGTACTAGTGGGGTTAAGAGATTTGTTTGCAGAGTAGTAAAGTTAGTAGTCTAGGTAATGGGATGTTTCATGTGAGAACAGCTCCATCTGATGAGCCAATTCGATTTGAAGTATAGTTTACTTCCTAGGATGACACATTGCCTTAAGAGTTCGCTTGATAAAAAGAAGTAGGGACTTTGCTTCTGTGATGATACAGTATGTTTCAAACCTGATTGCCTACACCATTACATGATGTAAAGTTTGTGTTGAAACTACGGTTGATCCTACATTGTTGAAAGTTTCGCCTAAAGCTGTGTGAATAGAACTGATAGAGAATTGAAGTGGCATGTACCAGCGATTCCAGTAAAGGGTTCTGTTGGCCGGCTGAGAGTAAGAATGCCTGTGGATTCTTATTGAGGAAGAGTGGTGGGGAAGAGCTTGATGTTATTGGTTATGTAAAATTCTGGAGAAGGGATGTATCATTATCTGGGGTTTGTCTACGGCCGTCTTGAAGGTAAGACAGACTTTTATGAAGTTGCTTACAAGTATGAGACTGGGGTTTACATGTGCAATTAAACA